TTTTTTTAAAGGATTTTTCCAAAATGTTTTTTTGTTTAAACCTTCTCCTGGCAATTATACGAACAACTAAAAAAAAAATTGAGCCAAATCGGCCCAGCCGTTCTCAATTGTTGACGAATTGTTATTCAGTTTTGGCTCCATTTTTATATATATAGATTTATTAGGTAACAACGATCATAATATTATAATATTATGTTGGCTTAAAAGTATAATAATATGTAATATAATGACTAGGTAGTGAAAAAATAAAACTTTGTTGGCTACAACTAAAATACCATATATAATAATAGAATGTTTAATTTTTATACCAACAGACGACAGTTAGTCTGTTATTTTAATTCAAACGAATGAGTTCTATTATTTTTTTTATATTTTTTTATTATTTAACTGTCAATTGTTTTCATTTTTAGTTCACTATTTGTTTTTTATTAGTTTTGTTTTATGAAAATTAGTTTAAACCTTAAATGTTTTTATTCTAATTGCCAAAGTTTATTTTCAGAGAACAGTTTTTGAAGGATATACAAACAATGTGATAAAACAAATCATCCTTGCATTTATATACATCATTCTAGCTATTATATTCAAGTAAGGCAAACAAGAATGTAGTTGGATGTACTAGGGATTTATTATTAAACGAATATTAAAATAAAAGTGGTAATAGTACACTAAATTATGGGTAAGTTTAGTTAAGCAATGTTATTTTAGAAATTTTATTAATAATATTGTACTTATTTACAATTATTATAGCTTTAAAATTAAATATAAGACATTTTAATTTTGGTTACGTATACATGTATACATATCTTACATTATTAATTATTATATATTAAATTCTCAGTTATATGCATACAGCGTTGAATTCAGTAGACAAAAATATAAATAAAAATAAAGTATGGAGTATAAATCTTAATATTCCAGTTTCTTCGGACTGCAGATAATATTTACGTCTTGAATTAAACACTGGCAAAGAGGGTAATGGGATATGTCGGTCAGAAGATGAATACTTATTTTTATAATACTTATATTTTATTAAATCAAAGTTTTATTATAAAACAATTATCAGTCAATAATTAGCTTAAAATACACAATATAATAGGATAATATTATCGATTGCTTCCCTTCTTATAAATGTCCGACAGTTCGCCCATTCTCCTCTACGTGGAATATGTCTAAAGTTTATATACTCGGAGAAACCACGTTAAAAAAAACGCGCCACGTACAGTACCTCATCATGCATCATTAAGTAGTTTGATATGATATCGAATTTCATTTAATGTGCTAAGGTGGTGAGGAAACTTGTGCAATAAATTATTGTAATTAGTAAGATATTATCTTAATAATTAATTAAGATAATATTAATTAATTTATATATTTATTTTTTATATTTATTTATTTTTCACTATCATGATATAATTATGAAGGTACATAAATTACATACATATATGTAATACATACATTAATAACTATTATTTAGCCATGGTAAGAACCACGAGTGTATGTTTTAACATGGCTATTTTACATATTGAAAAAACTTTTAAAATTGTAATTTTGATGTAATTATTTATTGGTACTTATGCAAATTCAAAAAAACGAGGAAAAATACGTCAATTGACGTTTTAATTTAAATATTATAGTGTTGCACGGTTATATTAAGTTTAACTTTTTAATACTGTTGTCTGTTATTAATTACCTAATAAATAATAATTAATCATATTTAATCGTTAAGTATTAAATGTATTATGATATATAATGTATAATTTATTATTATGTTATATATTTATAACGCTATGGACTTCGGAAATAAATTCCATATTATGTAAATATAATGTAATAAACAGAATTTTTTTATTTGATATATAGCGCCTTAAAACAATCATAAAATGTTCTGGTACATTAATTTTTTAGCTATATTCTTTATAAATATATTTTTCATTTAATTCAATTTGTTGGAATCCGACATAAATTAATGATAATAAATCTGTATAAATCAAAAATTCATCAACAGCCTGATATAAAGTATAAAGATTTAATTGTATCAATATCCAAGGAAATCGGCATTGGATATTACAAAATTTGTAAAACTGTCAAATATTACAGAAATATAACAAAGTCACTCAATGAAAAAAAAATTTCGTCTAACAATCAACGACAAAATCCATGACTTTGATAAAACGCTATCAGGCAAAAAATGCATGGTTTTAGAGTAAATAATGGACATACTACATACGATGTTACACAAAAAAAGTCAAACAATATACTTTCTTCGAAAAACTGTCTACAGCCTACAGGGTCAAAAAACCAACAGAAAAGGACAAGCGATTTATGGTATAATAGGCTCAACAGAGAGTTTTGTCGAGGGTGGTCTACTGTGTCTACTGTAAAAAAAATACAGCAGACTATCTCGATGAAATGAAAGGCGACACATTTTATGACTGGTTTTGAGAAGTTTTGCCAAATCTAAAGAAAACTCTATAATCCTGATAGACGCACTACTACTTCATACCATTCAAAAAGGAGGACATAGTACAGTGGTTAAGATCCAAAGGTTCTCATATGTCATATCCATATGACACATAATATGTTGACATCATATGCCTATTGTCAAACTGCATTTTGATGGACATGGTACGAGAAACTGGACAAGACCCCGTTCGCCCAAAAATGACCTTTTGCTTTTCGCCCACGTCACTTTTTGCCCAAATATATTTTAAAACTACTTTCCCTTTTCGCCCAAGAATATTATAGTACTTTTTGATCACATTTTTAAAATACACAATTGGGAAACACTTACTTAAAATTATTTATGTCCAGTTTATGTATAATGATCTGGGCCTGGTTGAGTGTTATAAATAAAATTCAAACTAAGGTCTACATTCTATACATTAAACTAAACAGTGTTCATTTACAAACTTGTACCAAACATAAAATAGTATATAGATAGACAGTGAAAAAATGAGAAAAAAATACAACAATATAAAACAGGAACAATCAATCGGTATGATATTATTAAATCGATGGCATTTAATTACTATAAATTATAAATTTAATAATTATGTTTTGACGATTTATTTAAATTTTTTTTTTGAGCTTAAAGTATTCTTAACACAAATCCATTCTCTTTCATTATTGACACAATTATAAATACAATATTATAAACAATTTTTTTAACGACCTTATAAATGTTATAAGAATTATTTGAATGTACATTTAAATTCATTAAATGAAAAAAATTAAAATACATTTTCGGAGAGTAATAAAAGCCGCCTCCTCGTGGTACAAATGGGTAATGCTAAATGGCTTCAAGTAAGTGTTTCCCAAATTGTGTATTATAAAAATGTGATCAAAAAGTACTATAACATTCTTAGGCGAAAAGGGAAAGTAGTATTAAATTATTTGGTCAAAAAGCGACATTTTCAAATTGATCGGACAACGTTGGGAGGGGGGGGGACTTCACACACATAGAAGGCTGAAGGAATGCTGTCTATAAAGCCATGTTCAATAAAACATCGAATATCAAGCAAAGATTACCGTTTGAGATCGAATCAAAGCAAATTTTAGTTGTTTTTTGAGCTATCATAGTTACACCAACTAAAAGCTAATTAAATAAAAAATAAAAATAAACTACCGATTAGTGCTTTTTTGTCTTAGAAGTATGAAGAAAACGTGTAGGTAGTGCAATTTCCTAAGAACCATAAAAGACAATAATCATTGTTCAACACATTATTAATTTTGTAAATGTATTTTAAATAACAATGCATTTTAAAAACGACGACTAATTAGAATTAAAATATTTTTGTCAAATAGCTACTGCAAGAATGTAACTGTCGGAATAGTTTCGCTATTCCGACAAAAAAACAAAAATACCTATGTGATAAATTTACATACGTAGGTATATTATCAATGGCTATTAAATAATAATTAAATAAATTAAAATATACAAAAATAATAGATAATAACCAGAGTCTACGTACCTGGGGTTAAGAGGGTTGCAGCCCCAGGCCCCGACATAATTAGGCGTCCCCATATATTACTGTAATATGGTCATATTTGTTTTATTTATTCATTCACATTAAATAATTACTTATAGACCTATGGTACAGTTTATTTATAATCTTTAAAATAAACTGAATATTAAAAAAAGACATTGCAAGAAAATTGAATTTATAATTCAGGTCGAGGGGCCTCACCACAAAATTAGTCCTGGGCCCCAATGTTCCTAAGTGGTTATACCAACTATAGATATAGATGTTTACTAGTATATGCACTGGGCGACAAAAATATTGCTGCGTTGAGTAGCCTGTACAGTTGTTGTACTACAGTGTACATCTAAAATCGTGCTACAATCACAGCAGCGGCGACCGTACCACAGAATAGATTAAATTTAATCTACTCGTATTCTGTGACCGTACTATCAGCCATGATAAATTAAATTATCGTGCTATCAGCAGACTGTAGTCGTGGTCCCTACAACCAAATCTATAGTATTTGCTACAACTGAGTAGTGACTACTGAGTACTGACTAGTGAGTACTGCTGTCTGCTACTGTTCTCTGCTCACTGCTCTTGTTCCTCTCGCATATAACTTTTTAGTTCAACGTTCAATAGTTTATCCTTTTAATGTTGTAACTCATAACAGTCATATGTACTTGTTAGCACAATTTTTGCAGTTGTATTGTATCAATTTATTTGTTTATTTTTATATTCTGTGATTTGATAACCTTTGCTTATTGGAATTTCAAATTTGTTATACATTGACCCCCCTACTGTTCTGTTACATCTAGTATGTAGGTACTTATTATTTTTTGAAACTCTATAATAATTTTTCCCAACAATAAACACTTATATTGTTGACTACTCATATAGGTGTTTGAACATTTGATTTTAATTGTAAAAACATTATCGTTGAAGTCGTTTGTGTTATTTATCCAAGTTTTATTTTTGTAAAATGAGTGAAGAATATAAATGTAAGTTTTTTCTGATTTTACTTGTAAAATATTTAATGATAGTATGTACCTTGTATACTACAGATAAATGAAATATTATATTTATATTATATCTGTCTAGTAAATTGTTAAATTAACTTCCAAAAGATATTTTGAACTATAATTTTTCAGATAGAATTGAAATTTTTGTATTTTTATGGTTCATATTGTTTTAAATTGTCATAGTTATTATTAGGGTTCAGATTTCAATACAAAGTAGGTACCTACCTACATAAGTTTTTTTGGTGATCTAAGACAATACATTCTAAGTCCTTAATTTGTTTCATGTAATATAGAGACATACTTTGGTATGTTGGTATGGTTATTTTTTATACATATTTGCTTATTTGATGATAATATATGGTCAATCCGTGCTCTAGTTGTTATTCATTTAGTTTTTCAGCTTGATATGTATGATAATGTATTTTTATTTGTACAAATTAATAACTACCTAAAGAAAACTAAAACTTATGTATATATTATTATTTATACTGAACATTTGTTTAGCTTACACGCCTGGATGGAATGATCCACCCTCATATTCATTTGAAGACACAGTGAGTGCTCAACATGAAAATCGCCCTAAAATATTTGATAGAATACCTGCACGAGTCTTTCCAAATGCTCCTAGCGTGCAGTCAATTAACAATCAAATACTATTAGACAACGATGAAGTTTCCAATAAAAACTCCAATAATACTTCAAAAATCCCTGCAGTTTCATCATTGGTATTATGTGACATTCCTGTGGAAGAACGCTTATCATATGTGATGACGTCTCTGAGTGATTCAATCCAAAAGTCAACATTATCAGATGTGAGTTGCCAAGTATAATAACTATTAACTTAGTTCATCTTTCTATCCCTAATGCAATCTTAATTTATTTTAATTTAGTCCAAAAAATCGGATATTAGTAAACGGTTGTCAAGACTGGAAATCAGTTGGAAAGATAGTCAATTTACAGATATAGTACAACAAAAAACTATTGCATTAGTCAAAGGTTAAAATATATCCAAGTAAACATTTATTATCGATTAATAACACTCTAAAATTATATTTCATTTTCACAGCAATCAAAATCAATGATTATGATGAAGCAAATAGATTACAAATGGCATTAATGGTTGACCACACACGTCAGTGCAACACTTGGATACCTGCTATTCGACAATTAATTAATCAGCATACCTAAATTTATATTCGATAATTGTTTATTCGTAATATGTATGTATTAAATAAATTAAGATAATTTTAAAATTCGGTGTACAACAATTGAATTCATGTGTATCATTATATCATAATCCGTTAATTATATTTCTTGTTGAACATTTATAAACCATAATGCACAACATATCCACTCTTAATCTCCATAATATAATTTAATAGATATAACCAGTGGGTCCAAAAGGTTGCCGATGGAGCCGCTTCATAAACTAAATAAGTTTTGCCGTTTGTACAAAAATTAAAATCTTTTAGTCTTATTTTAAAAAATAATGACCCTATGGCAACGGCACCACTAACTTATACAATGTTAACAATTGGCCTGCCATTAATACTCGAATGCTTCGTCATAATTAACTTTACATTATGATTTCATATAAAGGTAATATAAATAAAATATTTTTTTTTTCAAGTTTTTGTATATTTTTGGTTTATTGACTATATATAAATGTAGGTAACCTATGCAAACCTATATAATTGTAAGTAACCTATGGAAACCTATATAAATATTCTTTCTTTCCCTTTTATAATTCTAATTAAAACTCAAAAACTAATGCAACTTATAAATAGCTAGCAATTCAAAGAATTAAAAGCTTATAAGCAATTAAAGCAACCAGCTAAAGCCATTTCACTGTTATTTGAAAAAAAAGGCAAATACGGTATAATCAATAAACCATATAAATACATTTTTCTTTTAATGGCTTGGTGAAATGTCAAAATTGGCCCGCCTAAAAGTTTGCACACCCAGAAAAAAAACTGAAATGACGCCGCCCCTGTGTACCAGCAGTGGGAAACACCTCAGGGCTCAGATTGAGAAATGTTGCCTTATAAAAAATAAAAAAACAATTGTCGTTTAATGATGCTAACAGGTCAATGTTATGCATAATAATTTATTTATAATACTACTAGCTGTCCCGACATGGTGTTGCCCCGTATAAGTTTGTTTTTTGGCATTTTCGTAGGCCGTGTATTATTGCTATTATGTATGAGAAAATATATTTTTCATTATTTGTAGTTTATTAGTAGTTTCAGAGCTCATAGCGTATTAATAAACTATTGAGTAGGTATGTCAAATTAATATTCATATAATGTCACTAATAATAACCCACGGGATGAAGGATAAAACATAGTCTGCAATGAATGAGTAAATTACAAAGTTCTTCATTGATAACGTAAACAAATATAATATTATAAATGATGTACATCAGCGTTTCCCAAAGTGTGTTCCGCGGAACCTTAGGGTTCCGTTAGATGTATGAGTTTATTGAGAAAATTATGTTTATTTAATGTTTGTTGTTTAAAAAATGTTTGATTGAAAATTTTTTTTGAAACTAAGTTTAATAATGAAAAGTCATTAACAGTATCATTAAAATATTATTTAGACTTGAGAGTTTAAGGAATTGATTTTCCTTTTTTAATTCACAAAAATTGTAGTTGAGTTGGATTAGACATTAGGGTTCCGTGAAACACAAATAATTTTTTAAGGGTGCCGTGGTCGTAAAAGTTTGGGAACCGCTGATGTACATTTTAAACTATTTTTAATAATTACTTATATTATTTTGAATTACAACAACATATAATTATAATAATAATTTTAATTTAACTAAGAAATGGTGCACAATATTTTTGGTTAACCTGTCCTTTGCTAATATAAATAGATTTGATGGCTTCCCCACACGTGAGCTTACAACATAAAGTTGCCCGAATTACGCAAAAGAATAACTGGTGAACCAATCTTCAATCGAAGATTGTATGGTGGCATTTCTGATATATCCAGAGAATTTAAAAATTCAGTAGGACAATTTACTGTTTCGTTTTCATTGACAGTAGTGTCGATTGATTTAAAATACATCAATATGTTAATATGGTGTTGGTTTGCTGTCTCGTTCGCTCTCGGGCTCTAAATGTGTCTAGGTATATGCTGTTCACGCACCGTTCTTGTTCTAAAAGTTTTTTTTGTCACAGACGTTCATCACTCTGCTCTCGAGATTCTTGTGCACGACTCTGTGCTGCCCTGATTCTCTGAGCTGCGTTGTTTCTTGCAATAATTTCATCAGTCGATTCACGATGTCTTACAACACGTTTGCGTCGTGCCTCATTGCTATACGCATTGTTGAAATTAGACTTTTTGGCGGCAATTTACTAAAAACATATGAGAATAATAAACTTTATTCATTTATACAGTAGTTTCGGAGTTCATCCCGGGCAAACACTGTGACACGAGATTTTTATATATAAGATATTATGCATAATAATTAGTTACCTACTCACTTACTCGCAAATTCAAATATCAAATGTACAACGAACAATCAGTTACGTGCTTACTGGTTATTACTTACTACAGTTAACATAGATATCAGATAAGTAGGTATAGGCCCCCTGGGTATAGTATAAATTATAAGTAGTATATTATGCTACTTATAACTTGAGTAATATTACAGAATATTACGTTAAATAATAAATATTTAAATTTAATATCAACCGAAAGTCTGTAATTGTTAAGAAGAGATTATACGATCAGCTGCGTGAGTGCTGTGAACCTTGAGGTCGCGTCGTATTTACAAATACTGAACGTCAACGGATGATAAACTGTGAGACTGATAATGCATTAACGGGATAAAAACAATAATAAATAATAACAGTGCAGTACTGCAGTTGTCAGCCTATGTAGACAGTGTCAGACTCAGTACCATACACATTTTGTTTTGGTATTCGCATTTCGCTTTTATAGTTTTGTGTACGGTTCAACTATTTCAATTATTGTGTTAAATAGTGTAGCAATTTTAAAATAACAACTGTCAAATCCATGTCCAGGAATATGTCTTCGGTTGTCTGCGATGCGAGCTGGGACAAGTGATCCAGGCAGTGAACTCGAAGATATGACGTCCAACGATTCCGGCGTGGAGAGCAGTACGGACAACGACGATTGTGCACAGCCAAAGTTCAACAAAAGGCTTGTGTCATCCGCTGAGATGTCTCTAGTGCCGGTTCGTAGGATGAAGAACCAAGATTTTCCGTTATCCCTGTGCCTCAACTCTATATCCGAACCTCCGATCGTGTTCGCGCGGCCCATGCTCAACGAGATTCCTGGCCGTAAGCTCAAGTGCCTGTTTGAATTGGCCAACCCCACGTTTCCCGGCACACTGGATAGATTCCAATCTGTGAGTATCACTCCCTCACCCCTCTCCCACAATGTTATTGATACATTTGTGATTAGTAATTGTTGGTTGTTTTTTGTTTCTCACCCAGTGTCTGACACCCATTCAAGAGTACACAGAAATGCTGTTGAAAATGGAGAAGAAGGATGGTTCTACTCAGACCAGAAACAATATTGGCCCGTGCCGTGTCCACGCATGTCGTGGTTACGTGAGGTCAAATGCTTTTCAGTCTAGAGGTAGTGTACAGTGCTGTGTTGGTTATTATTAGTACAGATAGTTAACATTTTGGATTTTTCAATGGTTGTAGACAGTCACAAACTATGTCGAGCTGCAAACATGAATAACACTGAACTACTGGAGCAATTTCTCAAGAACGGTGTTGATCCAAATTGTTGGGACAGTAGAAAACGTACGCCCTTACATTTGGCCGCAAGCAAAGGATATGCAGAGGCTGTGGGGTAAATTTAGTTCTTGCATTAGTATCAGTATTACAAAATAGGTGTTATTTGTTAAAAATTCATATGAATATTCGATATTTAGATTGTTGTTGAAGTATGGTGCCAATCCAAATATAAAAGATGCTTTGGGAAACAATCCATTGCATTTGGCTGCTTGTACACATCACATGGATGTAGTAACATTACTTTTAAAAGGAGGTAAAAAAATGGATATTTAGTCAATTGCTACCTGAAGAATAGGACATTTTTTGAAAGATCACTTAAGGGATACCAAACAGACTGCTTTCCCTTCTAAAAAGACCTATTTTAGTTCCAACATAATGATTGCTCAAATTTTAGGTATGGATTTTGAAAACAACTTAGTATTCTTTGTAATTTTATTTAGATCCTACTAACAACCTTAAATGTAGATACCCGACCATCAAAATTTGACTCAAAAATGTTTTATACATTTTTGTATATTCAACAACTAAGTTTGCTTTTTTAGATAAATCAATAGAAACATTTGTATGCAGGATCTATATTATACTTATTTCAATATTCAAATAAGTTTTCAATATCAAAATTCATTAGATCTTTAATTTTAATAAATATGACTTAACAGTTTTGTAAAAATTTGCATGAAGTTGTATCTTACTTTAAAAAAAAGTTAATGTAACATGCTCATCAGTCATTGTAATATACTATATGTAAAAAATGTCACTATCCCTGAAAAGTAAAAACCAACTTTTGGCAAATGGTCAAGTTATAATTCACCAAAATATAAAAAAATGAATGTTTAAAAATCCTGGAGGATGATCTAATTTTTTTTCTATATTTTGTTTTATTAGGAACAGATGTAAGTAGCTGTGATGCCCAAGGCCGAAGTCCTCTGCACTTGGCCCAATCAAAATTACGCCTGTTAACTCATTGCAAAAGTGACGTTTGCACATCTGTCAAACAGACAGTATTACAGGTAATTGAAATGCTGCTAGCATATTTTGACAAAAAAAACAGCTCAGATGAAGCAGAACTGTTAAACGCCTTTCAAACTAGATTACAAATATCAGATACAGGAGAAAGGGTTAGTACTGAAATTCAAGACCTTTTAAACAATTTATCAACATTAAAACTAAATAAATAAACCTGAAATCATTCGAAATATGTTTTTTATATCGATAACATTTTATATTTATATTATTGGTTACTGTCTTATGGAATTATAACTTTTTTCAGTTAGATTTGTGAATTTAAGTTAATATTATAATTTGAACTCTTCTATTATTGAGCTATACATTGATTGTAGATATAAGTAATTATAATCTAAGGATGTTCATTTTTTGGGAGAATAATTTTTGAAACTATGAAATAAAAATCTGCTGAAAGTTAGAAAAATAAGTAGTTATACCTTTATTCAGTTCATCTCGGTACTTGGCAACTGTTACATTTAAAAAAAAAACAATGGTTGAAAACTATATTGAAAAAAATATCATAATTTCACAGACTAAGATATAGTAAGACCATGATAATTTTTTTAAATACAATATTGTTTTTGGACCAGTTTTTTTTTTTAAATTGTAACCTTGCTAAGTGACAATATGAACTGGATAGGTTATATTTAGTAAATTAATTTTATTTATTATTAGTAATATTAATAGTCTAATAGAAAAATATTTAACTTTGATTTATTTAAATAGTTTTTTGCTCTACTTCAAGACTAAATAAGTAATAAGTTAATAACACTTTAAAATCATCATTATTATATTATTTAAAACAACAAAAAATATTACTTGATCATAATTTTATATTGTTACATGTTATATTATTTTTAGTTTTTAAAAGGACTCTACCTCTCTGTGTAGTCTCCGATTTATAAATGTACAACACAGTGATTAAGGAATAAAATATTATAATATAAAAATGCTTATTCAAAATATTGTAGAAAACCAACTTACAAACAGTTAATATTCTTATCTTTAAGTTTGTAAATAGATCTGTACCATAATTCACTTTAATATTAAAGTTAACATTAAATAGGGTTCCCAAAACAAGGCTTAAATTTAAAAAAATATTGTTTTTTTATTTTCATCATTAGTTATAACATTTTACAGCCCTGTTCTATTATGTTTTGTTGTACATTTGTAAGACTATACAACACATACAGGTATAGCGTCCTGTTAAGAAACCTACAGACTTCATAAGTGTTTAAATAATAATTTTTTAAATAAGCTTAAGTATTCATTAAAAATAATTTTCATGTTGTGACAAGTTTTTATTGAAAATGGTTTTATTCACTTTCCATTTACAACTTGGTTCCTTTTTAACCTGAATTGAGTATAGGTTGTTGAATACTGTATAGGGATTCACCATGAATGCTCAATCTAATATTTCATTATGCATTTATTATTATTTTGACTTTTGGAATTTTTAAGTTTACTTGATCATATTTTTAAATGCTTTGATTTTGTAAACCATTTAAGAAGTGTCCTGTACCGAACATTTTTTTTTCCTGTACATTTTTAGCTCATATTTTTCAAGTATATAATATAATTCAAATTTAAACTAGTTAGGTACTGAATTATTAAATGTTGTGGACTAAGAAAAATAGTTCTTAATAATGTATACATACCTTAGAACTCTTCTTAAATGGTATGAAAAACCTAAGTACTTAATATAGTCCCCAAGTAGTAAGTACTAAAAAATGTCAAAAATAAGAATCTGAATAAATACATTATTGAAGGTTTAAAAAAGGGGGGTGTTCAAGCTTGTTAAATAAAACTCTGTAGTCTTTTGTACACATATAATATTATATACCATGTGTTATCTCCATTTTACAAATGTAAAATATAGCTAAAACTGAAAAATAGAATCACTCTAGCTGTAGTCCAAGCTAAGCTACCGAATTTTCACACTACTAACAAAAGAACTTTTACTGTGCAACATCGTTTTTATTTTTTCGATGTCACAAATACAAGAACAAGTACTTATTGTTTAAAAATTCATTATTTCAAACTTAAATAACTTTTTTAGTATTTGTGATATCAAAAAAATAAAAACTATGTTGCACAGTTAATGTTATCTTCTTAATAGTTTGGTAGCTTAGAAATTGGTAAATTTGATAGCTTGGACTACAGCTCGAGTGGTTCAATTTGCTCAAAATAGTTTTTGCTATGTTTGACGTTTGTAAGATATTGACAACATATGCAGGTGTGGCGTCCTATTAAGGAACACTCAATTTCTGGGCTGGATTACATTGAATGAAGTGATAATGTTTTTGATAAAGAAGGTAGTTACAATTTAGAATGTTTGTTGAAAAAAAAATGACTCAAAAACGTTAAGAACAAATATATATAATTTAATTTTAATATTTTTATACATCTAAAAAAAATTTTGATGAAATTTAAAATTGCTATCTTTTTGTCAATTTTGATTTTAAAATGTTAGTTTCAGTAAAAATAACTTTAAAAATAAAGCTTATTCAAGCTTATTATAAAAAAAATTCAATTTTTACTGAGCGTGCTTGTATAAAAGGTTATAATTAGTAATGCTCCTACAAATAAATATTTACCTTTTCAAAAAATTCCTGATTTAATCAAACCTAATTTGGCCTAATAATTGAGTGTTACCCAAAATAAATCAGTAAGCACATAGGTATACATTTTAACAATGACTACATTTCATACAATATATTTTTAACCTCAATGTTTATGTTTTTCTATTTGTCAAATTAATATTTTAGTTTTCCATCAATATATTTATGCTAGATATTATGAATTTTATGAAATTAATTATTTTGTTTTATTCTTTAATAAGGCATATTTTATTTAAAACGATTTTAAAATTATGCATAGCAATGAACGACTTAAAGGATTTAAAAATAAAATAAAAGTTGACGCGCACTGTATAGTTTTTATTTGTTTCGTACAAAATAAGTCATTTATTTAAAAACAATTGATATTCAAGTAGTCGTAACCTAGACCATACAATTATTTTGTACCTGGCATCCAGAGGCCTTATACATTTTATTGATTAAAACTCATTATCTGCAAACCATGTATACGGTTATGCGAATATATTTAGTGATTGAATTTTTAATTATGTAGTTGTACTCATGATGAATAAACTGATGTAATATTTTAGTGAACTGCTGCAGGTCAAATATTTTTAATAGACATTTTATAAGCTTTTATCAAATTAATATGTACAGAGTGATTCTCTTATCGTAACAACAGGCAATATCTTAGTAATTTTAAGGAACACAAATGTTAGTTTATTATTTTAAGAATAAATACTGATAACCATAGAAAAATGTAAAATATTATGTTTGTAACTTTTTGTGGATTTTGATTATCATTTATATTGTATCATTAATTTATGGTGGTGACTTTTTTTTTATGTTTAAATTTTTATGTTATTTTTGATTATTAATTTATTTTAAATTGTTTTAACTTGTATACATTTGAATTTGTAGAAACATTTAAAAATAAAGATAAAAAAAAAATTATTGTTTTACCTAACGTTTATTTGTATATCATACTAAGTTTGCGTATGATTCTTATATTCAACCTAATGGATGATGTTTAAGCTACAAATTTGTAAATAAATGACTGTGACAAGATGTTGTTAAAGATGTGTTATATTAAAGATGTGTTATATTCCCTCAAAAAATTATGTTTGAAATTGACTTTAAAGTTGGAGACAGTGGTGAACCCGCCTATTGGAAGTACAATTTACACACTAACTTCACCGTTTACATATCTATTTAACATTAAAACTAAATGTCAAGTGCACAGAATTTATACCTATATATGTGTTTATAAAAGTTATACATTTCTTCTTGATGTATTTGTTAGTAATTAAATCTACACTGAACTTAACATAGATAATATGGAAATTACTTTTATTAATTAGTCTTCAACCTCAATACCAAATTGTGTGTAACAATTTTTGCAAAGAACAACAGCAAATTAAATTCATGGTAACTTTATTATTATTATTTTTAAACTTAATAGTAATACAAAAAGTAAAATCACAATGTTAGACATATGTAATTGACTTTTAATTGTAGAGTAAAAATGAATAACTCTATTATTCTTGATTAGGCACAATCAAGGACGGATGAGAAGGCCCTCACTTTAACATGTCTTTAAGAAAAAATGTCTTCATATTCTATACAGTGTTTGTTCATAACACCAAATATCCATCCTATATTTTTATTTTTATGTATAAATTAGTTATTACAATATAAAAATAATAATATTAGTTGATGTGTGACATGCTTGTACTGTAAAATATTCAGTTCAAAGCCTGGATACAATGAAGATTGAGCAAAGGAAAATCACAAATTTATTCATTTACCGAGACAGTAATATGTGTTTATGACTGTATGTTAATTATTATTATTTTTTTTTTTTGACCTTAATAATTATAATTCATTATTTAACAACCTATTGACTTAATAAACAAATGGTCCCATAACACGAGGATATTATAAAGAGAAAAAACATAATATTATATTATTATTATGGTAACGTCGCTGGTAGCGATAGAATGAATAATTAAAAATAAATATTAATAATATTAAATAATAATGATAATAAATTAAATATAAATATGCCTCTCAAGTAATTAAAGAGGCAAAACAACAACTCTATATAATATACGAGCGAGGTAACAATATTGATAAACTTTCTCTGAATTTAAAAAATAAAAACAAATAATAAATTACATAAGCTACATTAGCATAAATAATGTATTCATCACTCTTGTGTCGTGTTTGACTGTAAATGCTCGAGATGAGGCATCAGGAGAACTTTTGCCGTGCTTACACATTGGCGATACCGGGCATGATTTCCGCTTGTACCGGACTGTGCTTCAGCAGTTCACCGTCTACAACCAGGTGACTACCTTGTGATAGTGGTTCTAGCCGGAATGCTCGCACAGGGATCATTTCTACGTTGGGTACGGCCAAGTGGTTTCCAGACGACAGGCCCAACAAAAACTACAATAAATGAAAAAATTACCACCTTGTTAATTGATTAATTTAAACAAAATGTAATTAATGATTGTGTTTAATAGGTACATTTCATTCACAATGCAGTTAGTTTTATTATGATACATTCATCACATAGTCCACATACTATTTCCTAATAATATTATAGCGTGCAAAACACGACAAATTTAGTGTTCACATATTTTTTTCACCAAAATGTTAGTGAAAACATAATACTATTGTTACTTGCTAGATAGATAGTGTTTTGGAGTTTTGGGTTACACAAATGTATTCACCCCTAACTTTCCCATCCAAATAGCCAACACTAAAATAAGAAATAAATAATTAAAAATAATTATTATATCTGAGACAACCATCTAGATACTGTTGTATTTGGAGAAATTCTTCAATAGCCAAGAAAAAATTGTTTTTAAGTTTATCTATTCAATACGTGAGATACTAAAATGATTGTAAAGGCCTGAAAAAAATAACAATAATTTTCAAAATTTTATACCACAGATCAAGCACAGATAGGCCATTTTTGGTCTAGCAAGAAATTTTAAGTAGAGCCATCCCATAGAAAAATTACTATAGCTTAGCTTGCAAATGTACAACTCATTAAATGTAATGTTCACTGTATAAGTGTAAAACCAAACAAATTTTAAAAAATCATTAATTTATTTTACATTTTACAACAATAGGTACCTAAGATATAAGTTAATTTTTAGTTCCTAATGTATCTATTATTTTTTAAAACCCTATATGGTTCAGACTTTACAATATCCTTTTTGACGTTTGTAAACAATAAACTTCGAATGGGTTTTAACATATTTTAACATTTAATTTATAGAATGTATGTACAATGTTCACATTCAACCCAAGTGATAGATTATGTAAGCATACATTTATAATTAAAGTGAAAGCCACATAATCATTTCTTTCTATTTTTTTTTTTTAGCACTTCTACTATTACTTAAAGATTTTGAATGGAGTTGTGTATTGATTTTACAATGATTTATTTTTTTGTTTGTCTTTTATTGCCTTTTGTGGTAGTAAAAATTCTTCAATTTTAAACTTTGAGGATGATCTGGTAGGTAAGTGAATTTAGTTGAATATGAACAAAATAGATATTTTATATTTTATTTTTTATTTTCTTCACTAACATGGCAAAATAAATAAAACTATAATTTTTTTTAAAACAGAACGGTTGATTTAGGGCCAAGTGTTTGCCATTAAAAAATCACATATTATTTATATTTATTTGTACTTGTAAGTAAAGTACTTTGTTTTTTACGATGAATATAAGGGCGTCACTGCAGTGTAAATGCCGACGTTACAGCCACTAAACACGGGTTGTTATTGAAAATACTTTCAAATATATTATTTAATAATAATTCACTCACTTGTAGAAAAGTCGTTCTGGATATTCCATTTTTAATAACCAACAGCCAAATTACACCGTCGTTCAATTTCGATTTGGGTGCTATTATTACGTCTTCGCTTATGTGAGATAGATACGAAGCATGTATCATTACGAACTCGTCTACAAAATAAACAAAGGTAAGCTGTATAAGTCAGTGTTCGTGTACAATGCGTTCTGACCATTGCCATCAAAACATTGTAATATAGATCATTTTCTTTCTGGCTTTTTTTTTATTTTTATTTTTATTTAGAAGTTTTATTTGTACGAATTCTTAGAATATAGTGTGAAAGTGAGATCTCAACAGTAAAATCAATTGATACCTATAATATTTGTACACTGATACATAGAAATAATTATTAGTCAAAATTAGATTTTAAAATAAAAAACGAGCTATGGAATATTTCAAGTACATGCATACAATATTCACAGAGAGAATTAAATCGTTTAATTATATTAATAACATAGTTGTTACCTTCAATGACTATCCAGTCCGACGGAACTGGATCAGAAAGCGGAGGTAGTTTAGATAGAGGTCCCCGCACCCAAACTTCGGATCCCTCGATCACGTCTGGTATTGATGAGAAGCTTGGAGCTTCGTTGACAGACATGAACGCCGTGCGCTTGGATATTATCGATGAAAAACTCTCGACCCGCTCGCGTGTACCAAATCCCTCTAACTACGCGAAAATAACAAAGATAATTTATCAAAAACCAATAACAACAAGGATGAGCGTGTAATCACATTATATTCAAATTACCGGGTCCATTCCAAATTCGATCGACACCGGTTCATCGTCGGCGACCTCTTGAAAATCGCCTGACGTCCCTCTCGCGTAATTGTTCATTCTCGTTTCGGTTTCCAGATCGTTGATTTTTGAATACGACAACCGGGCGGGATAACTCCTCAGACCTATATTATATACACGAACACAACGTTTACGTACAGCAACCACCGACAAATGCGCTAACTTGCGCGTAAGATCGGCGGCCCTTACCAATAAGTCTGGCAATACTCCATATAGTAAACCTGGGGCTACCTAACATCCTAATTCTCTCACTCTCTATATCAATGTCAGCAATAAAACCCCAACCGATCGACAAAAAAGAGTATACGACTTGTGTAAGAGTCTCGACTCTAACGAGATCCATTGGACACCTGTTACCGCCGACGATGTTTAGCGCCGATATGAGTATGGGATCCGGATTGTAGGGTTCGCTATAAACGTTTAACTGGTTGCATTCAATGTGCTGCAGTTTGAGTAAATTAAAATTCGAGCTCACTTGGTCTCGAAACTTATCGACTTGGCCATCCCATTGCCGGAACCACCGGGTATGACAGCTAGAGTCAGGTACTCGAAGGCCCTCTGCCAGTCCGACCGTTCCATGAGGCCGTTAATCACTTCGAACATTAGCCCATCACCGCCAAGTACTACCACACCACGGCCCCATTTATAGATGTTACTCGTTCTCATCAAGTTCCTGATAACAGACGAAAGCATCACAAGCGAGATTATTAAAATTTTCCATACATATAATATAATTTTGACTCATCTTATCGAGCTTATTTTTTAGATTTTAACATATTGGATATTTTTTTTATAAATGCCAAAAAAAATTTTTTTCTCGAAAATCTTGAAAATTTAATAAAAATCCTTCATATACCGATTCAAAAGTATCACAAATACTAAGTCACAACATTTTTGTATACGCATTAACAATTACACTTACAATTACAATTTTTTTAAATCTCGCAAAGTTGCTAATAATTTTGATCCAACAAAATAGCAAAGTGAATTATATTAATATATATATGCACTATAATTTATTGCGGGGATAGGACATCACCAATCGTCGTTATCTGTCATCATGTGAATTCTTAAGGATAGATAGAAAACCAAAAACGTGTTTATTCCGCACATCGGTGAATGGACGTGTTTATCCGGTATTCCGGTATAACTCGCGTACACAATATACATTTTTACAAACCGATAATACAGATTTCTTACGTAAAAACGTCAAATTAAGATAAACTTTACAATATATATCAATAAATGCGCGTTTAGTAACCTACATAATATAAGACAACGGTGGTCGGAGGAGGACACACATATATATAATTGCTAAATTGTAGGTAATAAATCGAAATTATCAACAGGGATATCTTATCTTACATTCTTACAAGTACATAACATTTTACTAATACATTTAAAACTTAAGCGCCTCGTGATAATACTAATAGTTACCTACAATTGAAAATTTAAATTAAACAATTTGATATCAAATATCGTAGGAAAGTATGTTATTAAGTAATAGGTATAATATAAAATTTCCCTAAATCTACAAAACCACATCATACAAAATCATTGTCGGTTTAAAGTATTCCGACTAAAAATAAACAGCTGTACCTAGAAATATATTTGAAATTCGAGTAAGCATAAGAAAGTATGTATGTACATTGTACAGACATGGAAATATCGTAATACCATTGATTCTGGTATACGTACATTAATAATCAATGGTATCTAATACTCATTGTTGCGCACAATGAATTACGATAAAATATAATTAAGAATCTTATAAATTATAAGCAAGCATATAACAAAAATCAACGAAATAATAAGTAAAATATTTTTATTTTTTATAATAATTATTTTTATATATCTCATAGCATATATTACTGTAGGTTGTACTTGTATTGTATTACTATATGTGTTCGGTTTTGGATGTATATTTTTACTGTTTTAATATGCATCGATTTCCAAGCTCCAGTTATAATCGAAAATATGTCGATTGTATTAATTATCATAATTCATAACAATTGAGAAATTGCCTTTTTTAATAAGTACCAACTATGTTTGATCGTAAGACCTTCAGACATTTTTCACCGACCAAAAGTATTCACAGAAAAATAATATTATAATAATGGTTTAAAACAAATAATATACTCTACCAGATATGGAAAATAGAAATATCATCTTATATTAATTTATGTGTATAATTTTATAAGTCAAATTTTAATTTCAAATCCTTATAAAAAACAATCCGCCTCCGTATCTTAAATATTTTACAAATTTTGAATAACAACTGAGGAACCTGGTGTTAAATTTTGAAGATACAGTTTTTAAATTGGCTACATTTTGAACTAAATGTTTTTATTAATATTAATAGAAAAAAAAAATTTTAATTTCTATAAATTGCTCAAGAATCTTTTGAACATTTTATCAATTACAGAAAAAGATATATTTATCATATATACATTAACAGAAATATCTAGGGCTATTCACTTTTGAATTACAGCAAATTCTCAACAATGTATTGAGGAAAAATTATTGTGAAAATCCAATGTTGTAAAAATTTAAATTCCTTACTTGAATAATAAAAAGTGAATGTGACTTTCCAGTTAACTTTTTTTATGTTATAGGTAGAACAATTAATCGAGGAATCTTGTATTACATTTTCAAATCTTAGATTTAAAAATAAAAAATATTTAAGAATTTCTAGCTACAAAATGATTTTTACATTTTCGAGATTTTCAAAAAAAGTTCTATCTTATAAAAAAATATTGTGACTACAATATGTATTTATTTTAGATATTTTTTTTGAGAGTAAATAAGCAACTTATAAGGAATTTTGTATTAAGTTTTCAAACTATTTGACATTTGCAAAAAAATATTCTTTAAATAGCTCAAAAAGATTCTAAATATTTTGAAAAATGTATGGAAAATCATAATTTGATGATAATTTCAAAAACCCACAGTTATTTGTTTTTGAGTAACACAAGAGAAATAAATTGTATACACATAAAAAAAAACATACATTATTGTAAATTCAATACAAAAAATACATTTTAAACAAGGATTAAAAACTATAAGAATAAAACGTGAAAAGAAAATATTATGTCCATGGGTATTCTGTGCAAGTGTATAGTGTGTAAATTAGTTATTTTTTGTAATAATTGGTTTTTTTTGAATAGGATTTAACGAAACCAAAAAGACTGCATTATCACTAATTATCTAACTCAATGATATTTTAACAAATGCAAATAACCAAGCAAATATGTATGATTACAATAGTGATGACCTTCACATGTTATTCCAAAATAGGTTTAATAAAAATTTAGCATTACAATATAGGTACTACTACTATCAAATTATGTATACATTCTCAAAATGTATAAAGTATGTATGTATATTATGTAATATATACAAACAAAAATAATAAACAAATGCCAAGAAATAATATATAGTTATACAGTAGGTACAATAATTGTGTAGTAAAATTATAGAAATAAAAAAAATTAACATTACCTATTAATGATTTATTCCCTAATAATTAAGGTCTTACATACAATCTTCATGTAAAATACAGTTGTAAGTGCAAAGGTGAGTCTATCCAAATATTATGATTCAACCAGAAACATCTGATAAATGTAACTTCATGCAATAAGTAAAGTGATTTTAATTTGGGGCTAATGCAGTGAGGATAAAAATGCAAAACAATAGATGATGTCAAAGGAGGAAATCCTGGATTAATTTTAATTGAATGGAGGACAAATGTACATATAGATTTATAACAAGTTCCGAGTAAATAGTTGTTTATAAATACTTCAAATCTATTTACCTAGCATCATTTTGCATGCATGTAATATGCAAATCGTAGTCAACATCAGCCATATTTAAAATAGGTACTATTTTACGTTGAAATATTTCACGTGATTTTCCAACACCACTTTTTGGGTTCACAATTACTAATAAATGGTTACCTGAAACATAAATATACAAATAATTCTTTAAGTTATTCATTTATATTATACAATTCAAATTGTGCAGCCATCAATATACTATTGTTTACTAGGATGAAAAACAATTGACAGTTAACTAAATCGACCAAATATTTAACTACAATAGAATACACTTAAAACGATCGTCAAGGGACTTAGAGAATCATATTTAATTCATAATAGATTTTGTGTTTATGTTAAAATATTCACAAAATGTTGATAAGATTATTTTCTAAACATGTATATATATTGACTCTTTAAGTGCTATAAATTTATAGGCATGAGAAATTTTCTCAAATTTTTTTTTCTACTTGGTTTTTTATCAATTATTATTGACAAATAATTTTTTGCTCATTAAAAAAACCAGTTTAATACAAGGTTTCTCATAAGTTGTGTACATTTAAAATGTAATTAAAAAAAAAAGTTGAATGAAAATCCAGAATAAACCAGAATAATATTTTCATTTATTTGAGTTACTTTTACACATAAAAATTTTTTTTTTTGTACTTTTATTTCTATAAATATTGATTTACTAAGTTTAAATGTTTGAAAATTGCTACAATTTGAAAACAATGAAAAAAACTTTGCTACTTTTTTTTGAAAACCTACACGTATCTACAGTAACTGTGAAAGTAACTTTTTCAAAATTTTGTTCAATTTTTATGATTTAGTAAACCTACCTAGTATTTAAATGAAAACTAACAATTTTAGTAATCCTTTTGTTAGTCTATAACTTTTCCCAGTTACACTTATTATTATTTAAAAAGCAAATTGCAAAAAGTCAATAGCTAACATATGAAAATAGTAATTTCAATAAGTAGTTAAAATAAAATAAATATATGTATATCAAGAATGAATAAAATATTTAATAGGTATCTGCCAAATTTAGTTTTTAGTATAGAAGTATCTAATACCTAATGAATAATCCTCAGTCCACCCTAATATAAATAAGATTTTACTAATCATTTTGAATGATCTTGATTTGTCATTTTAATTAATTGTTTTGATTTATATATTTTTCCAATATTTTATTAATTGTTGTTTTTAAAATTATTTTGAATAATTGTATTTAAAATTTGAACTATAAACAATTATAAAAAAAATATTGTGACATTATTTTTAATATTGACATATGAATAATTTACGAGGATGCTTGTATTAAATGTTCAAACATTTTTTTTATCAACATTTAAAGAAAAAACTAATAACTAAGATAAAAAATAGAAAATTTGAAATATCTATAAATAAATCAAAAACAATCAAAATATTATTCAAATTTTACCATGCATAGAAAATAACCATACTGGAAATTTTCAATTTTGACTTACCAAAAGTACCAACTAGATCCAATTTGCTACCATAAACTACCATTTAAAATTGAATATAAAAGCATTTTTTCTACTCTAAATAACATATACATTAAAAAAGGAGGTATCAATAATTCAAACACTTAAACCAAGAGGATTTTAATCAATACTAATTTACAAATTGACTAGACATCATAACCTTTGAGCTTTATTAATTAGTTGCCACACATAATTAAGATTGATCAAAAACATATTGTACTGATTTATATTTATTACTTGGTGTCATTTGTTATGGTACACAATAACACAAATCAATCATAGTAGGTACTCATTGAAAAATATATTATTTGAAACAATCTCTGATTCTAAACGACTAAATATGCTATGTACTCATTTTAAGATACAATTATATACTTCTATAACTAATCAATATGAAGCGTGAACTTAAAATCATCTCACACAATGAAATGTAGGTATATATTATCTATATATTTATTAATATATTTTTTTTTATTTTAAAATATAATAATCATTAATCCATGATATTAATGAATGTAAATATTGTAAGTAGGTATATAAATTAATAGATAAAAATCAGGCCAATTATTAGATATTACATTTAAATATGTGTCATTATAACTTAAGGTATCTATTAGCTTACTAACTACACTAAAATACTTTAACAACTTCTTCTAAGACAGTTCAGTTACCACTGTACTATAAACAATAAATTGCAAAACTACACTATTAAAATAAATAATAGGTAATAGATATTAATCAATATTTTATAGAAATAAGAAATAATACTAATACAGGGTGCGGTGTTATGGACTCCCATATTTCAAATAATCATTATTCATTAGCACGTAATCCAACTGATTAGACTAATGCGGTTTATTTCGCTGAATTAGGTTATAAATAAGGTTTTTAGTCGTCACAATGCTGTGTTTTGGTGAACAGCGTGATTTCGTTATCAAGGCATTTTTTAGAAACACTGCATATGTGACTGCGACAGAGAGTATTTTGCACTTGGTTCAATTTGAATCCAAACGAAAGTGTCCCTGATCAGGAAATGATTTTGAATTAGGTACAAAACTTAAAATCTACATAGAACCATTGAAGAACTAAAGGAGGCTATCCGTCAAGAAATCTTCTGTATTCCATTCGATATGTTGACAAGAGTGATGGAAAACTTTTGAGAACGGCTCCATATGTGAGTCATTTGTCAAGGCAATCATTTGGACGATATAATTTTAAATAACCTTGTATAATAAAGTTTTTAAAAATAAAATGTTTTTTTCTATATCTTGGGTAGTTTTTTTTAAATTCACCTTAAAAATGTGGGAGTTCATTATGCCGCACCCTGTACAAGTATTGGCTAATGAGGTATGAATTAGCACTACTTAGGTTATCAAAACAAAAACAAAAAATCCCTGGAAATAATGTTTGCTACATTAGCTACATGTTTTGCAAAATAATGTTTGCTACATTAACAATAAAATATAGAATTGAAAAAATACAAAAATGATTATCTGGTAGGTATCATGGTCTACATTTTATTAGTTATTATATGTTGTTTTTTAAATATAATTATGATCTGTGCTAACTTAACTTAGCTATAGGTAAATCAATGAAATGACTAACATCTATCTAAAAGAATTAGAGACTAAAAAACTAAACAAAAATAGTAATTTAACAATCAACGGCTGTTTAAAAAACGTCTGGAAGGGACTCAACTAACTTTTTTTTTATAATCAACTGAATATCTTGAAAGGTAGTAATAGCCTATAGAGTATAGGTATATAATTTTCATATATTGTCAAGTAGTTGCTAAAGGGGATTTTTTTTCTAGATTTAAATTAAGTGAAGGCTGATGATGAATATCCATTAAATTCTTAGGGTGTTAAACAACAAGATTTACATAAAATCAAGTTAATAGTAATTAATTTTGTAAAACATACGATAAAAAAGCTAGGTAATTAATAAAAATAAATAATCATAGGTAATTATTAACCTCATTATTAACAATGAAGAGGTCATTCTTGATAAGTTGTATGATAAAATATGTGATCAGTTAAGAAGAAGTTTTCTGTAATGAAGCTGTATTTATTCATATGATCATAATAATCTATACAATAGTGTGGGAGATGATAAGTTAATATCTGTATACTATGTTTAAAAAATATATATATACATTAACACAAGTAGGTATTAATGTAGAAAATAGTTAGTAGAATCTGTGTTTGATTTCCAATCTATAGATTTACTGATTGACATTTTCACTAACAAAATTTATTTTAATATTTCAAAAAATAAAAACATTTCTTGAAGATTTAGAATTGTTAAAAATAAATTGCTAACTAACTTTTATTCAACTAATCAGTAGTACAAATTTTAAACAGGTTATTATCAAAGGTCAAAAGTTATTTCAGAAGTACCTACTTAAAATAGAAACGTTACATATTTTAAATTTTCATAAAGGTAATTGAAAACAGTTTAACAATTAAACAACATATACTTGAAACAAATAAATACCTATATTATATTATTCAATATATTTTTGTTAATGCTGTTATAACTAATATAATACAAGTATTCATGCTAAGAGCAATCACAAAAAAATGTCAATTGGATGATTCAAATTTAAATAGGGTTTTTGAGAGTACTAAACTAAACATTTTGAGAAAATGTCAACAATTTAACCCTTTGGTGCCCATGTGCAATGCAACTTACTTTTTCAAATGGAGGACCCTACCAAAACTTGAAATGGACCACGGATTTCTTCAGAAATCAAGATACATTTTTGAATAGTTTTATGTAAAAACCAGATTACTTTATGTTATTTTCTCTTAATTTTGGGTACTAAAAATAAGTTTAAAAATTACCTAACAAATAAACATCTCCCTAAAAATGTTCGAAAATGCACTTAAACGTCAAAAACCTCAAAAAATGAGCCAAAAAAGTTTAATAATAGCATAAAAGGTAACAAAAGGAATTTGTCCAGCATTATAGAAAAAATATGCAAATTAATTGAAATTCAAGCCTAACTAGGGATAAAATGTAAAAATTTCTTCAAAATGTATAAGTACTTAGGTTCTTTTTTTAAACTTTCCGAAAACTCCATTTTGATCTGAGATCATTCAACTGAAATATTAGTTAACATTTTAGTTAGAGTGAACCCAATGAATAAATAAATTTTTGATTCAGTATCACTGGAAAAACTAAGGGAAAAACATAACTAAGGATAACCTTAGAAGTAGGATCATAGGAGTGAGCACAGAATGTGCCAGGTCTTCCGTGGCATACCCGTGGCTTATGGCTTTTTATACGACTTAATGCATTCTGGGACTTTGTGTACACAAAGACTTAAGCTACAAACTTTGAGTCCATTTAAGGAAAAGTGGCTTCACACACCCGATACCAAATTCCTGTACATGCCTATGAGTAGGATCCAAATTATCATGTTCAAAACAAGTCTAAAATTTCTAAAGTCTATATGTTGCTAATATGCTCTAAAACAATCCCACAACTAGTCTCTCTATATTTTCTTAAAACTAAGAAAAATATTCATAAATCATCAATGAACATCAAAATATGCCATAATATAAATATTTGAAAAAAATGTTTAACAAAAAATTACACAAGAAAAAGTTCCTAATAATTATTAGGTTAATGATTAAAAATAAATAATAAAGGGAATAATAATTATGAAAATAGAACACAAATGTATTGCAACTTAAAATAAAAGTTATTAATTTGACTACCTATACTCGCATATTGTTGAAAAATCAAAATATAGGTACTCATATAAACAGAATATTGCGTTAATAATTAAAATATGGAACCCAGAATAGTTTAGAAAAATATTATATAAAATAGCATTGAATAACATCTTATAGCAAATATTTTTGGGTTTTCTAAATTTCTTAATATGCACCCATTATTCACATTGGATTAAAGAATACTTTATTCAATAGTGCTTACCTAGGTAATAATCATCTGATGGTGCAACAATAGTCCCATCCTCGCATCTGGCTTGCAGTAGTGATTTTATGGCCGATTTCCACTTGGCCGCTACCCGGCTGTTCTCATCATAACTGCTGCAGTTGCGGAACCTCAATGTAACGGTCATCTTGTCACGCTTTTCGTTTTTAGCCCCAACATTTTTCAGCACGAAAGCGTAGACACATAGGTAAGCACTGCAATCACCGGCCTCCACATATGGCACTCGCACTTGACACTCGTCGGTTTCTGTTGTGGCTTCTCTGGCAGATTCCACTGTGCCTCCTTTAGCCGGACGACAGGCACAGTGGCCGGACTTGCCAGTATTTCGCATGCACTTACAGCCAATTATATCACGAATGTGTATCAGGTCGGTCTTCTCAGTGCCGTCATCACAATTCTTGGTTAGATGCAGACCTTCATTCGTCAGCGACACCTTGTATGTGTACTGCTTCCTGGACAATGCATAAAATGTTTCCTCAAGTATAGGAGAGGCGACGAGTCCGATTTCGTCCATAGTGGCGAGTAGAGTTCGCTGGACATATATGAAATATAATTTAATATTCTACTGATGTTTATTGTTTGATAAAAAAAAAATTATCATACGGCAAGGCTGGGAGAATTAGTTCAAAGTGAAAGCACTCGACTGGATGCTAATAGCAAATGGAGCTCGCCAAAACGTAGCTGAAAACTCTAAAATCTATTGATCTGTCGTCATAATTAATTATTATGATGGTCATGTTAAAGCGTATGACGGTTACGAAGTACGAACTACGAGTTTAGAGTTAGAACCGTTCAAACATCAATCGTAACTACGGTCTACGACCTTCGAACTGTCGAAATTTTAACGACTGTATTTACTATTCAGTACGGCGCGGACACTACGAAAGACGTAACACGTAACTACGAAAGTATATAGTAAAGTACTGTTCGACGTTCGTTGAAAATTGAAATCGTACTTATCGCCGTCGCTGGCAGTGTCGCCTGTGGCCCGTCAGTCAACAGTGTTATCTCATCACTTTTGTTGTAGTATAGTCGTACGTAGGCAGCCTGATAAGGTTCAAGAACATAATATTTGGATCACTACCTTTTGTTCCACAAATTTTTTTCCAAGCCAACTTCTTCCAATGATATTGATTTCAAAATTTAACTTTTGTTCCTACTTACATTTCTTTAATTACTAATAATGAATCAAAAAATCATTATTCAGAGGACTTCCTGAGGTAGTCGGCCAAAGTTTAAAAAATCAACTTGAGTTGTATAATAAAAAAAAAATTGTAAAGAGAATACATGAGCGCCCGCAGACAAACGCATTTTTAGAATCAAAAAAATATAATTTAAATCTGTAAGAATTAAGAGCTAAAGACTGCAGTAAATTATAATATCTAGATTCATAATTCTAAAAAAATTACTATCAACAATTAGTTTTTTAAAGAATCATTATTCTGCAGAGGTTTCCCTGGCGTATTAGCGTGCCAACGTTAAACAATTTATACAAAAAAAATTAACACGAGGTTAATAAATTTAAAACCAATTGACCTAGGAGCGCCCAGAAGCAAAAACATTCTAAAAAGCAAAAAACTAGAATTATTATATGTAGTACCTATATCTACCTAGTACCTAAATCCACATTGCACATTAGCTGAAGATTGGGGTCTATATCTCTAGACTTTTAAACCCTAAAAACTATTCACGATAATTAGTTTATTACATTTATTAAAAAGTCTCCCTCATGACAAAATATACATATATTTTGTCATGGTCTTCCTGAGATTGCATGTCAGAGTTATAAAAATGTATACCTACACCCAAATTTCCAGGATTTTTAAATGGGAGGGGGAGGTTCAAAGAAAGGCTCAGATTAACACTTTTTCGTAAAACATTGTTGTAGGCCATATAGATACTATAATAACTAGTACCTAGTAATTTATTCGACACAGTTTCATTTACTTGTAACATTTTGTAAAATATAGAAATTTAAATACCTACCTACTTAAAAAATGAAAAACTAATACTTATAAAATTTATCTACTTTTATTATCATAATTCATAAGAAACCATGTAGGTAAATATTACATTTTCAAGCTTTTTGATCCAACGAATACAATTTGACTGACATTTATAGAATAAAAAATTGAAAAAATTGAAAATTGAATGTATCTATTAATAACTTCAAACTATTTCGATCATTATAGAAACTGATAAAATAAACATTTGATGAAAATTTCAAGTACCTACTACAATTAATAGTTTTTGAATAACAACAAAATAAGAAAATCGTATAACGTAACGCTCACAAAAATTATGTTTGACTAACCGGTAAACTTTTTATATAATAAGCCAGAAACGTAATATCTTTGAATTACATATCAAATACTAGTTAAGAGGTCCCCAAATCCCCAATGCTTCCATGTATTAAAAAAGGTACAACAATGAATGCAGAGGTGAGGATGCAAAAAATTAAATGGAAAGAAATCTGGGGAAAAAGAAAATAATATTTAATTTAAAATTATATTGTGTTATAAGCTGGAGAATGCAGTCAACTTTGAATTACAAACAAAAAAGACTAACTACAATTAAATATAATAGACTTTGACTATGCACTACAAATAGTTAATCAAAATATAATAAAATAATAGGTATTTAAATAATGAACTAAAAATGAGAGGAAACAAAATTAATTTTTCATTTTAATTAAGAAGAAAAAAGTTTCAAATAATGTTGTAGGTACTTACTAAAACTAGACAACAGTCAATTAAGAATTACCTACGAACCAAAAATTGTAAATACAAATAAAAACATAAACATAATATCTCTGTATTGTTTTTTCTGAGAAGGTATGGGAAAAAAAATTGATTTAGTAGGTACAATATAAAAGTGGGAGGGAACCTTGGGTGTTTTAAGATAATACAGTGTTCGGAACGTTCAATAAAAAAATGAACTCTTTCACGTTCACGTTCCTGTTTTTTTCAAACGAACGCGTTCACGTTCATTCAAAAAATGAACGCGTTTATTGGGCGTTCATTTAATTTTTTTCCTCCAGTAATTACTAATTAAATTTAAATTCGATATCATATAGGAACAATAATAGAAAATATTATTATATAATGATTAATTAAAATATTTTTAAAATATATTTATTAAATGGTAAATAAATTAAACGTCTTAAAAATCGATCGAGTTCATTAAAAATATAAACGTTGTTCACGTTCACGTTCTATTTTAAAAATACGAGTGACGTTCACGTATCGTTCACTATTTATGAATGTGAACGCGTGAACGTGCGTTCATGAACGACGTTCGTTCCAAACACTGACATAATAGTATTGTAAAACACAAAACTACATTTTAAAATAAAACTTACGATTTCATACATTTTCTATTTACAGTGATTCCAGATTCATAAATATTGAAAACCTTATAAAAACCCTATATAAATATCTACCTTCAACCTTAACTAATTTTTACATACATTTTAATATTTTTTTTTTTTTGTGGTAGACATTAATTTAGGATTAACTGTATTTAGGTTTTTATTAAGCTAGTTAGCTTGGCTTTAAAGTTGCGTTTAAAAATTATGAATTTATAATACTAGTTAACATGGGCTCCGGTTTTCCAATTGTCATGGGGTGCTCAAAATTCAAAAATGATTTAACTTATAAGTAAAATAAAAATAAAATTTAACAAAGCATGATTTGTTAATTCGTATTAAAATTGTATACAAACTCCTAAAATTAATAATAACTATTATATATTATATTTTTTAACACCCACAGTAAGTCAAAATTAATATAAACATGCTAAATATGCTAAACTTGTTTGAAAAATGTCTAATTAATTAAGACCGGTTTGGTTGTTATTATTTAATATTATAGTTCAAATTCAAAATATAAAATACTTAAGGTGACGCTACGGTGTGCGGTGGTTGTTTATTTTTAAATTATTTAATTTACTATCGTCAATTTAGGAGGGGGTGGACTTACCTATATTGACTATTTAAGAACGATGAAGCAATTAGAATTTGTCTTCGAACTTAGTTTCAAAGTTATAACCTTTTGAAGTTAATGTTTTTCCGTTTTTACACATAACCTTAACGCTCTATAGTTTGAATAAATTAAAATTTTTTTCTTCTTTTGTAAATTAACTGTTCCGGGGGGCTTTCGGGACCTCCTTGGACCTCAAGTTTAGCGACCAGATCTGGTAGGCGTAGGGAGCGACTACTTGACATACTTTAACTTAACCCCTATAACAGGTTATAGGTCACCTGTTACTACTTACTTATTAGGTTAGGTTAGGTTAGGATGTTATGTATGCTTAGGGTCTACACTTACCTAACCCTTCCCCAGACCCCGTTGGTGTTGTCCCCCCCAGGAGGGGGGCAACACTGGATTACTCCCTACGCCATGCCACTGACAGGCTATGACTGACAAGTTTGAAATTCCCTCACTCCTCAGTAATATTTAAATATTTTCTTTCATTGTTAAGTACTTATGTTTGCAATATCAAATACCATGGTAGTTGGTGAAAAATATCATTGTAAATATGTAATATGTTAACCTTTTTTAAGAGCGTTTGAAGTTAACATTGCATACTCACCCGTAAATTGCAAAAATTTTAAAAATGTTGTAGTTATTCAAAAAATATTAACTGTATGCACTTTAAATTTTCATTTTATCATTTGTTTCACATGATACATGATTCAAGACACGTCTTGAGATATTTATAGAAATTTAGATTTTTTTAGTTTTTTCTTAATTTAAATAACAATACAATTGTATTTGTTGGGTCAAAAAGCTTGAAAATGTAATAAAAAGTTCCTTATAAGTTGTTATAATGGTAGTTGATAAATATTAAAGATCCATTGGCATTATTATTTTTTATAAGAAAAAATTTTAAACTTTAAATACATTTTTGATGTCTGATGATCTGAAAAATGTAAATAGCTAATTTTTACAGATATGTTAAGTTCAAATTGGACAAAATTTTGATTTAAACTGTAGAACAACGATTTTAGTAATTTTATTATAACTTGAAAATATTATTTATGGATACTTGATACTTTAAGAGTACATTACTTTATTGTATACAGTAAACAGTAAACACACTATGACATGCAATTGTTTTGCTAAAAATTAATTGAACATTTGTACCTACATTGGTACTTAAACCTAATAATAAAATAATAAGTTACTTTAATCACAATAATATCATAAAATTTAATTAGTAATATGAACCATCTTTGCTCAGAATCATTTGCTGTAACAACAAATTATTAATTCAAATTTAGCACATCCATTACTGTGACACTCGAAATACTTAATGAACAATATAAATATTTACGACATCATTGAAGTAGCTAATAATTTGTAACCATTTTCCTGTGTTATATAATTAAAATATTTATTTACATTGGAATTTGACATAGAGCGCAGATTGAAGTTATAAACAGAAATTGATAACAAATAGATAATACATTAGCCTATCAAACAAACATTAATTATTATGCTCTTTAATTACTCGGCTACTGGAGGCATTAAAACAACAAATACATTTCAATTTCCATGTACAGATGAATACGATATGCTTGTAGTGTAAGACATTAATAGATCAACAGCTTGTTTTGTTTCCAAAAAAACTGTGGCTTCTTTTATCCATTCCTTAGCAACGACTCTTGAACAACCTGTCAGCAAGTTCAAATATCTCAATGCTTGCAAAATATTGTCCCTATCAATGCAGTACCTGCAGCAGAATAAAGTTTATTTATATAATATTATATGAATGTTTTATAAATATTTATTGTTAAATTGCTCATATTATGTACCTCGCTCTTTCAACTATTTCATAAGTGTTTAATTCTAGGGGATCAAATTCTTCATTGTTCACTTCATTGGGTGAAATATGTGAATGACGGACAACAAAGAGGCTAGCCAAATAACTGAATGCCAT